AGGAAAGAATTGAAGTGTAATACTAATTAAAATCCCATAACCGCCTCCACAACATTAAAAAAGAAAACTGAAAGCAGATGTGAAAATATGAAACTTCACCTGCTCAATATTGACACTGAATGGTCCTTTTGATTGGCATTCAGGGCAAGAACCAACTTTCACTTCTGAATAAGAATTCTGAAAGAATGGCCCCAAGATTGCCCCACATTTATTGCAATCATACTTTACTTGCTGCAATTGGGGAAAGACCCCAGAGCGTCGGGTCACAACCCCTCCAATACGAATCATGGTATTCAAATGGACCTGCCTGCACATCATTCAGAGCAGAATGAAAGTGTCACCACAAAGGAAAAGGCAAGGAAAAATGTAACCACAACAATGAAATCTCCTTTATACCTAATGTTGCGAATCTGATCATAAACAGGTAAGTTAGTTATCCGAACATAGATTTTTTGATGGATACGTTTGTAATTGGGGTGCAAAGTAAACACAACATTCTTGGCAACATCTTCCATAACTTCCAGGACAGACTGGGGAGCATCAGCCAACCAAATGGCAATATTGGGATGAACATGGATGAATTGCTTGTAATCAATCTCCAGACTACACTTATTGGCTGCACAATGCAACAGTAAAATTGATTCAAATTCAAAATCCGAGGCATCATTAGCTTCCTGCTTGCACAAAGAATGGGATAAAAAGTAGAACATTAAAAAGACAACAACAGTTATAAAAGAAAGCTACGCCTTTACCTAACACCATCTCATTAATGAGGCGCACACATTCGATATCATTGTGATCCTTTTTCACATAGGTGAGTAAAAACTCTTTGAATTTCTTGCCTATAAATCTTCGCACTTCGTCTCTAGTAACCCACTCTCTGAGTGTTCCTTGAACACGATACATTTCAAATTCTTCTTCTTCATCATTCTACACATGAAACCCACAACCAGTGATAAGAATTTGACATATAAGAAAGGGTTCACAACGCAAGTTAAGAAATTCATGTAAAATCTCATCAAAGTCAAAAGCATGCTTTGAATAACTAAACCTCATCGCCGTCATCATCAGTCTCTCTGGAGTGTTCGGGCTGTGACTGTGATCTTCCGGGTGAACTCTGCATTCCATCTGTATCATCGTAGCTTCTCGGAGGCCTGAAATCCGCCCTTGCCCTCTTCGAAGGCCGGTAGCTGTCATCGTCAGTATCTGCAACCAAAATGCCAACACACACTCAACATTTCACCAAAACCAACACCAAAAACACATAATTCTGAAATTGTTCCATTCTCAATTGCAAGGATACATTACATTCACAGAAACAAAGTTTACTTACCTTGGTCATGGAGAAGATGGGGGAGCTTGCGTGAGGTGTGGACGCCGTCACGGGTATCGAGCTCGACTTCCGCGGCACGGCGGTCAGCCATGATCTGATCCAAATCCCTTTCGTCCTCAACGGAGTCATCCAGCCCCACCGACTCGTACTGGTCGTGCCCATCCATTCTCCGATAATCACTATATTTTCATCCAAACAAATCATTTCTTGAGAACCCAAATTTCGAAATTTTATTTGAAAAATTAAATCAAATGAAATCAATTCAAAAAACATCATGCATTTCAGAGAGAGAAGAAATTGAAGTACTGACTCCAAAAAATTGTCGTGGAAGAGATCCTCTCCCTCCTCCTCTTCAAGGAGGGGATCGTCGTCGGGTTCATCTCGGACGATTTCGGGGTCGACGGCGGCCTCGTCGTCGGAAGAGGAGGACGAGAAGTTCTCGGAGGTGCGGCTCGTGTGAGGCAGCTGATCCGTGTTGAACCCGACTGACGTCGGCGAATCCGGCGTCGACGGATGATTCTCTGCCATTTCCTTAAATTAAACTTCTTTTCGTCGTCTCTCTCTCTCTCTCTCTCTCTATGCGGCTGAAATTGCAATTCGGAATATGGAACTGCGCTGCCTCAAGGGCTCACAAGGGAGGAGGCTTCTGCTTTTTGGCGGGAACCTTTCCCGCCATTTTGGCTCACGTGGGCTGCCACGTCTCATGATGAATTTTGGGCTTTCAAAAGTTTGGGCTTTGGATTCGCAAACGCAAACTCTAGGCGGGCCTAGTTCTCTGATGATTCAGTGGGATCCACCCAAATTATAAACCTACTGAAAACTCGTCAAGACTCAAGATCAAGATACAAGTTGTTGTTATCGGATCAGGATCCTCTCAGATGGAGAGGATCCTCCTGATCAAGGTCATCGGGCCGTTTATTTTTTATCCAACGGTTATAATTATTATAACTTTTAGAGGGCTCCTTGTTTGTAGCCGTTGGATAAAAAATGAACTGCCCGATGGGCCTGGTCAGGAGGATCCTCTTCATCTGCTCAGGAGAGGATCCTGATCCGTTGTTATCGTAGCACCGTGTCTATGGGCTCTATACTCTGAACAAAGGGAACTTTTATATATATATATATATATATATATATATCTCAATTGTATCGTTAATCCAAGACACTCGTAGCATGAAAATAGTATGAAGATAAAAAAGAGATAAAATATAAACTTGTCGTCGGCTTTATATTACAATGCACATGGGGACTAAATATAGGAATTTTATTGGAGATGGCCTTATACATAACAATATTCATATTCTGAGTTGTTAAGGTAAGGATAGAGGGATTAATCTGGATGCCTAGCGGTTTGAAAAGAAAGGCATATCTATTAGGATCATTCATCACTTGCGACTAATGCTTATTTTTAAATATTAGTATTTTTACTAAACCATTAAATAAATATTATGATGGGAAAGCATGTGAGGGCCTCTTTCTAATTGTTGTTTAAGGCCCCACTTTAGATTCGGCATTCTCAAATAGCATGCAGATTAGTAACGGTGTGACAATCTCATTCAAACTCTTTTCTTCTCATTTTTTTTTTTTTCTGTAGATCAACTTTATCAAAAGAAAATTCGTCAACTAATTTGTTTTGTATAGTTTTTACAAACACAATCCATTTTTTTACTACCTTCTTTCATATTTGTGGATCTGACCCTTGCAAAAAAATTTCGCACGCGGATAATAATGTAATTAAACTAGTTATAAAATGGTTTTTTTTTAACAAACTATATTATCTACACTAAGGAAGAGGGGGTAGACTTAGCCTCACAATAGACTAGCAATAATATGATTCAATCAGTTGTACATTAAATATTATTTTCTCTATTTTTAAACATTTTCAAAACATCTTAAGAGGCATGTAATGCTAGTTATAAAAAAAGTAGTTCACACGCGAATAATTATGTAATTAAATTAGTTGTCAAATTATTTTTTTTTTTTTTCTCTTTTAACAAACGATATTATCTACACTAAGGGGGAGAGGCTGAGTTTAGCCTCACAATGAGCTAGCAATAATATGATTCAATCAATTGTTTATGAAATATTATTTTCTCTATTCTTAATGTAAATTTTATAGAGACCAATTTTATTATATGAATTCAGCTGCTTTAATTGGTTTATAAAGGGTTTCTTCTACCATGATATATGATTATTCATTTACTTCAAATATTTAAATTTCTTTTTATCAATTTACCCATAAAAATACATATAAAATATGTAAATCATATTTAATATACTGTGATTAAAAAAAAATCTTCTGCACATGCACAAGCACGTGCATGAAGGCCAGTATTTGAATAAGAGAAAAGTTGGTTAATCACAAGTCTGTGGCGCAGCCCACTACCAAGGTTGTTGGCAGTAGTGCAATGATTGACTTTGTGACTGAGAGTCTGATGAGAGAAGAAAAAAGATGTAAAGCACCAACAACTCAACATGCATCCGTACCAGATCTAGCAGTAGCAGTGCGGACTCGATTTTCAATTAAACCTTTATTCCATATCAAAAAGTATACATTACAAACAGCTTTACAGCAATATATTTAATTATTTATGCATGCAAAATTACAAGGCAACGAAAAAGGCCCCGTAGCCCATAGTAGATGCATGAGACGGCCGCTACCAAGGTTGTTGGCGGTAGTGCAATGATCGACTTTGTAAAGATAAAAGATGTAAGATGTAAAGCACCAACGACATGCATCCATACCAGATCTAGCAGTAGCATTGCGGAATTTCAATTAAATGAAAACTAATGAAAAATGCTTGAAAACTTTGAGTTTTAATGATAAGGACAAAATAAAGGGTAAAGTAAATAGTATCAGGATTAACTTTTTAGTGTAAAAATACGGTTTTCGTTAAAGTGAACAGTATCGCGGACTTTTCGTTAAAACTCCCTTCAATTAAACCTGTATTCCATATCAAAAAGTATGTATTACAAACAGCTTACAGCAATGTATTTAATTATTTATGCATGTAAAATTACAAGGTAATGAAAAAGGCCCCATAGCCCCTAAAGAGCAAGTCCACCGGGGATCAATATGCCGGCACCCAACATGAAAAATGGACCAGCCTCTCCTCTTTTTGCTCCAGTCCAGCCCAAGCCAGTCTCCAGAGCAGTCCAAAATGTTCTGAGTTATGGGATGGCCATCTGACGTTAGGCTTGCGTCAGCCTGACGTCAAAGGCCATAGAGTGGCTGACAGAGTCGTAGAGGTGGGGCCCATTGTGTAGGTGCAATATGGGATTTCCGGCATGGGGACACGTGGCTCATCTATGTCTGTTGGATTTCCAACGACTATTTTTCTGGGCCGTTGGATTTCCAACTATAAAAAAAAATGGAAATTTAAAATTAATGACCACTGACGTGGCACAATGAGGATCGTTCGATTTTTAGATCAACAGTTCATATTTTTCTACCAAATAAATAAATAAATTGTCTGAAATTATTAATATTTTTTATAAAGTCAGAAATTAAAAATAAAATTATTATTATTTTTTTTTATAATAAAAAATAATAATATTTTAATAAAATTGACTATGTTATTTTTTTAAGGGTGGAGATGCATTTGGCTTATCATTGTTCATTGAGGTATATCACTGTTCACTAAGTGGATTAAATAGGCTAGGTGATGACGCATTTTTTTAGGGGTAAACTTGCTCTAATAGATGCATAAGGTAGCCATATCAAATACGTTTAACCTATTTGATGACCAGTAATAGGGGTTCGATCGATCCATCTCTACACATAATTAATTAGATAACTATTATAAACACTTTAAAATAATCATCTTACAGTCTTATCTTTTTTTTCTTTTCTTTTTTTTTTACGAGAAAAGTGTAAGATATGATTATATTGGAATGCTAATAACAACTCTTGTTTAATTAATGTAAACAGCATAATAATTTTTATTTGTGTTGATCTGTCAGAATATTCAGACGCTTCTATTGATCATTTCTTGATACCTTTTGAAGGAGAGAAGCTTTTGCAAGCGCATTTGTTTATGGAACCTATTAATGAACAAATCCGCAACGTGATCTATCTCGTCTTCCAGCTTGAAATCCTCTCCTTCCACCTTGGAATTCTTCACCAGATCGATCACAGACCCGCCATCCTTGACATCATCAAAGTTCTCATTTTCATCGAACAATGAGTGCCTGAGATCAGGGTAGTTATCATCGTCGTCGTCGTCCTCCTCCTCCTCCTCATCTTGGCCATTGTACCTAAGCATGCAGATCGAAGTACCAACTGCATGTGAGTACTCATTGGCAATGGCATTGTAGAGAACAAGCGCCTTGCTTTGGTCTCCCTCCTCCTCCTCTTGATCGCGGTGATCGTGGCCTAGGAGACTGTGGATCTTGTGTGACACGGTGTCCATCAAAACCTTCTTGTTCTTCACCAATGAGAACATTATCAGGCGAGCTTTCGCAGCGCTAGTTTTGCTCTTGATAGCCAAGGACTTGGCCTTGGCTATGGAACTCAGCAAGGTGATTATATGTTTCAAGAAAACAGAAGCCTTGTTCTTCATGATTAATTATTTTCTTGTTTGATTAATCACAACTGCAATAAGTAAGCAAGGAAACCCTAAATTTCGATAAAAAAAAAAAGCAAGCAAACCCTAGATTTCGATATAAATAAATAAATAAATAAAACCCAAGATATTCAAGTGCACGAAACCCCCTTTGAAAGAAAGGAAAATATATGAGATGCTCAAGAAAAAGAATATGATGGAAGGTTAATTATTTTGCATGAAGGAACACAAGAGCCTTAGGGGGGGTTTATATAGAATGCAAAAAGCTTATACTTTTTGGTGATGGAGTGGGGTGAAAGTGCTTAAAGCAAAAAAATAAGAAAAAGATATTAGAACAAATTAAATAGAAACGGAAACTTCTTGTAGCACTGTAACACATGGAGTTCATGATCTTTTATGCAAATGGAACCATGCATCCTCGTCGTACATGACTAGTGAACAAACTGTGGGACGTACAATAGACTTTTTTTGCGAAAAAAAGCTCGATGACGATGGTTGTTTTAGGTGCACAAAACATATGTTAATTAATGGTTGCAGACGATTATGTTACTGTTATTAGCCAACTCAGTAATGCCATGCAGGTGGGTGGATGTATAAAGTGTTCTTAGGATATGAATAATTTCAGCTGGGGGTAAATATTTCACTTTATTAGAGTGCTAAGAAATTAAAGGTGATGAAAAAGAAATTGGACGGTGAAAGTTAAGTAAAGCGGCCAGTGAAAGGTAATATTTAATGGAGGAAAAAGTAAGGCTATTCGTTGCCCATGCACTAAGTTTTGGAGTACCTGCATAAAAAATGCAAATGTTATATGAGTTATGTGCATGCTGAATGTGAATGTACTAAAATAATCCTACATATTACATACCATGCATGTTGTGTTGTACCTCTGTATATAAACTTAACTTATTGATCAAAGTTAAAAACAAAGAAAAAGTATCTATCGATCTTTTTAATGGATATTTCATCCTTAGAATTGGACTATTGTGATATAGTATTCTATATTTGCCATATATTTTCTTCATTGTTTTAAAAATCTCCGTTTAGCGTTGCTTAGGCATTAGACGGCTGACCATTGCCCCGATTAATCTCTAAGCGTTTGAAAATTAAGAAAAGACGCCTAGATATTTTTAGGTACTAGGCAACTGACCACCACCCTGATTAATCACTAGGAATTTGAAAAATACCAAACAGTTTGTTAAAGATTTTTCAGTTATTGCTTTACCAGTGACGAGGTTAACTAGGAAGGATGTTAAATTTGAGTGGGATGATAATTGTGAGCAGAATTTCCAGCAATTGAAGTATTGTCTCACTCATGCACCTATTTTAGCACTTCCAGATGATAGTGGTAATTTTGAGATTTACAGTGATGCTTCCTTGAATGGTCTGGGATGTGTATTGATGCAGCATGGTAGGGTGATTGCTTATGCTTCACGACAATTGAAGCCTCATGAGATAAGGTTGTGACAACCCGTCCCGAATGTATATATTATTTTATCCTCAAGAGCGTAGAAGTTACTATTTTTCCCTTGGACGTTGAGTTATGTTGTGTGAAGTGAACTTAGGTTATGTATATTCCTATCTTTACCTAACACGAAGCCTTTTAGGAGCTCACTGGCTTCAAGTTCTGTAGGGACTCTGAAGTTAAGCGAGAAAGGGGCAAGAGCATTCCCAGGATGGGTGACCTACTGGGAAGTTCTGCTAGCGTGAGTTCCCAAAAATAAAACCGTGAGGGCGTGGTCGGGGCCTAAAGCGGACAATATCGTGCTACGGTGGAGTCGAGCCTCGGATGTGGTGGGGGCTTAGGGGGGATGTGACATTACATAATAAATTTAATTAAAATTAAAAAAATGGCTACCTAAGGTCCCGCCTAGACGCTAGACTCATGTTCGCCACCCGACTAGCGCCTAGCGCCTTTTAAAACTTTGCTTTTCTTTTTTCTCTTCTTTAATATATATAAATACTAGTTATATAGTATTCTAGATTTGCCATATACATCTTTTTAATGGATCTTATTGATCAAAGTTAGAAACAAAGAAAAAGTATCTATCGATCTTTTTAATGGATCTTTCATCCTTAGAATTGGACTATTGTTGTTGATGCACAAAATCAGTGAGGACTTTGGTACAACAGAAAGTGTTAAGTTTGTGACCTTTCCTAGATTGCTCCGGTCACTAGTGTGGATAAGTATGCAAATGGATAGAGACAGGGAAGCAAACACAAGATGTACGTGGTTCATCCAGATTGGCTACATCCACGGAGTAGATGAGTTCTCATTAATTGTGAAGGGTTTACACAAGTACATAGGTTCAACCTCTCCTTTAGTGAGTACTAGTGAATGATTTAGTACAAATGACATTAGAAAATATTGTGAGATAATGATCTCTATTTATAGAAGAGAGTTTCTAGTTTCATTTTGACATTGACACGTGTCGTGTTGTGATTGGCTTCTGATGTTGAAACGTGTCGCACTATGATTGGCTTCTGATGTCGACACATGTCGCGCTGTGATTGGCCTTCTGGTTGGAGGGAAACTCTTCTGGGTCCTTAACGGTATAACGTTGACCGGTGCTCAGTAGTTTCGAGATTGGTCAAGTATGGTACAAACAGTGCTCCCCTAAGTTCCCGAGTGAGGGAATCTCCCCTGTTGGGGACTTGCAAGATCCAAGCCATTGAGTAATCACGAAACTTCTAAGTACCAAAGTGTGGTATCATTTTCACTTGCCTTATCTGTCTCATACGTAGATGTGGCATCTTCTCTGGAAGTACTTTTCCTTCATCCAGGGGTGGTACCTTTAACCGATGAAGATGCACAAGGTAATGTATCAATTTCACTTGAAGCTTACTTGTAGTTTTTGGCTTGGTTAAGTGCAATACAAACCCTATAGTAGGAGTCCCCTAAGTCGCCGAGCTAGGAGATTTGCCGAAAGAGGTAACATACAAGGTAAACAATCAGACTTCCAAGTAAGCAACCTGGATCAGAAGTTCGACTTCGGCTTATGGTTGATTGTTCTCCTTCTCCTTGTGTCGTAAATAACAACAAGGATAAGGAGAAGCAAATGGAGAAGAGATGATATGAGATACTTTTGCTTTTGAAGAAGTAACTTTCCACAGGCTTTTCTTGAACTGGGCTGGAGGGTTTTTTGGTTTCCTCCAGAGTATAAGGCCGACTCAAGAATTTGAGGGTCAAAACAAGTCCATCAAATCAAGAGTGCATTCAACCTTGATGATATGGGATACTTTTACTGTTGACGAAGTAATAGATGAATCGGCACGTGTTCTGTTGCGCTTGTCTCCACATGCTTTCTTGTATCCTTCTCACTTGCCCTATCTGTTCCTCAAGCAGATGTGGTATCTTTTCTGGAAGCATAAGATGTTGAAGATGAGTACTCGAAAGCAATGCCAGGTAAGTAATTAGGCAAGGGGGTTCCAAGCAGTCATTTCCTGACTGGAAGCTTGATTCCAAGTGCTCTCTTTCTCCTTGTCTTGTAGGTAAGAACAATGGCAAAGGAAAAGACAGGGAAAAAGCATGATATGGGATACTCTTGCTTTTGACCCTAATGATATAAGATACTCTTGCTCTGGTGTGGCTGGTTAACATAGGTATTATTAGGGGGGAAGAAAGCTGAGTATTTCGAGAGGCTTCGTTGGGAGTGCCCTCTCAGATATGAGGAAAGGTTGAGCATTTTTGTAGGTCTGCCTGTCCGTGGAGGATGGAGGTCGACATATATAGGAGTCTCCCTAACAACAAGTAGTAATGTTATTCCTTTACCATTCTTGGTCGTAGCAATGTAGTGGGAGCTGCAAGCTTCACATGTTTTAACTTTGTCAGAGCACTTTGAAAAAGTGGTATGTGGTATCTGGAAAGTTGATGCTGCGTGTGAAGATTACAGACAAGCTTTATCCAAGGAAATCTAGCTCTCGAAGTTCGGAGAGCGGTGCCTCTTCGGTTTTTGAACAAGCAATCCTGTCGGGGATTTGGCTCTTGAGATTCGGAGAACGGTGCCTCTTCGATTTTTGAGAAAGCAATCTTGTTGGGAGTTTGGCTCTTGAGATTCGGAGAGCGGTGCCTCTTCGATTTTTAGGAGTCTGGCTCTCGAGATTCAAAGAGCGATGCCTGTTCGATTTTTGAGCAAGCAATCTTGTTGGGAGTGTTTTCTCGAATGTGAGTAAAGGTTGGGCATTTTTGCCAGTCTGCCTTGCCACGGAGCACGGAGGTTGGCACACATAGGGACTTTCTAGTTATCAAGCAGTGATGCTGTTCCTTTACCCTTATGGGTAATAGTAGGGTAGCTAGACCTTCAAAATTTATGTGTCTAAACTTTGTTAAAGATCTTTGGCAAAGTTGTATGTGGTACCCGATGAGCTGATGTTGCGTGTGGAAAGTGGTGCCTCTTCGGAATCCGGAGAGTGGTGCCTCTTCAATTTTTGAACCAACGACTCTATTGCCATTTCTTTTATAAGGGCACCAATTGTGTGCAAGAAGTACATTCAGAGAGTTATTGCTTGTGGAAATTTTCCCCTTACTTCAGAGATTTATTTCACCTCATTTCTCCTTCATCATTTATGAGAATGTCTGGCCCATCCGACCGTCGTTTTGACTTGAACTTTGGTGAAGAGGCAGCCATGCCTTCTCAAGACAACATATGGCGCCCATCCTTCTTATCCCCTACTGGTCCTTTTACTGTTAGGGACTCTGTGATGAAGAATGATATGACCGCTGCAGTGGTGACTAAAAACCTTTTTACTCCAAAAGATAATAGACTACTTTTCAAACGGTCTGATGAGTTGGCTGTTAAGGATTCTCTGGCTCTCAGTGTTCAGTGTACAGGTTCTGTGTCTAATATGGCCCAATGCCTATTTGCTCGAACCCGCCAAGTTGAATCATTGGCGGCTAAAGTGATAAGTTTCAAATAGGATATCAAAGGGCTCAAGCATAAGAATAAACAGTTGTACAGGCTCGCACATGACTATGTTACAAACATGAAGAGGAAGCTTGACCATCTGTAGGAATCGGATGGTCAGATTTTATTTGATCATCAGAGGTTTGTGGGTTTGTTCCAAAGGCATTTATTGCCTTCGTCTTTTGGGGCTATACTGCTTAATGAAGCTCCAAATGATCAACCTTCGGTGCCTCCTCCTTCTGGGGTTTTGCCTAGTACTGAGGCTCCAAATAATCACCCTCTGGTGCCTCCTCTTTCTGGGG